TATCTTTTTTTTTTTTACATCTTTATTGGAGTATAATTGCTTTACAATGGTGTGTTAGTTTCTGCTTTATAACAAAGTGAATCAGTTATACATATACATATGTTCCCATATCTCTTCCCTCTTGTGTCTCCCTCCCTCCCTCCCACCCTCCCTATCCCACTCCTCCAGGCGGTCACAAAGCACCGAGCTGATCTCCCTGTTCTCCCTGTGCTATGCGGCTGCTTCCCACTAGCTATCTACCTTACATTTGGTAGTGTATATATGTCCATGCCTCTCTCTCGCTTTGTCACAGCTTACCCTTCCCCCTCCCCATATCCTCAAGTCCATTCTCTAGTAGGTCTGTCTTTATTCCTGTCTTACCCCTAGGTTCTTCATGACATTTTTTTTTCTTAAATTCCATATATAAGTGTTAGCATACGGTATCTGTCTTTCTCTTTCTGACTTACTTCACTCTTAACCATTATGCCACCAGGGAAGTCCCACTAAGACTTGTTTTTAGAGGTATTTTTTTTTTTAGTGGGATCTAACATGTTTTTACAGTTTAAGAAGTAGCATTTTGTTTCATAATTAAGTGCTGTTTAGTTTCATTTAGTACCTAAGGCATTCCATATTTAAGACAAATGTGCTCTTACGTTGCATATATTACTTGTACTAAGCGCTTTTAAAATATCCTTAACGTATATCTCACGGATTCATTGGATAGTGTTCTTTTTCTAAAGAAGATCGATAGATGTTGGCAAAACCATTGCAGACAAATGGTAAGATGGAAAAAGCATTACATTTCAGCTAAATATTGTAGTTAAAATAAGTTTCTTCAAATACAGGAATGCTAGTTTTAAAAGCTTTGCAATGGGGGGACTGAAACTAATTTTGGTTGAGTTTTCTATTTTAAAACTGCAAGTTACAGGTAAACCAGTATTTTAGAATGACTTGCACCTTACGATCATTTTTATTTTTGTAACACTTAAGCAAAAAGTATTTATCTCATTAAAAAAGTTACATTTTGCCTGTCAGTCTTTATGGCTGTCCCACTCGCTATTTGGTTACTTGTGAAGGTGCCTGATGGTTCTGCATTTTAGGTTATTCAGATCACAACCTTTTCCTTTTTCCCTAATCTGGTATTATTTTAAACCTTCTATTCTGCAAATTAAAAATCTTAAAATCCATCCCACCCACCCAAAATTCCACGTATACAATTTAAGGCAGTTTCACCCTGAGGACTGTTGCTGAGGAAAAATTGTATGCCCCTTTATTCTGTTTTTATTTTTAGTTGCTTCTCAGATTGCAAAGAAGTCATAGACCATTTTAAGTGTCTTTTTTTTTTCTGGAAACTACAGCAAGAATTAAGGTTTATTAATAGTTTAATAAAAATGGTGTGGGCATATTCTCAGGTAGATGTGTTTATCTGCATGTTTGATCCTAGTAGGCTGGTATATATACAAGTAAACCCTGCAATCTTGTTTTATAAAATATTTCAGCTTCACAAAATATAAAAAGTTGTTTGATTTCTTTTTTTCATTGGCAGATCATGATCAGGAGCATTTTTTTGTTTCTGGATAGGACTTACGTTCTTCAAAATTCAATGCTACCCTCCATTTGGTAAGGATATCAGAAAAAAATTATGAAGATTTGTAACAAATCATAGTCAAATCTTAATTACACTAATAGAAGAGAGTGATACTGTGAATATTCTCCTAAAAACTCATATTTGGCTTCTAGACTTCTGTTTATAGCAGTTTTACCTTGTTAATTATGTTTTGCCTATGCTAATATTGGAGATAGCTAACATTCCCTGGGCATATAATAACTTATGAAGAAGTTTCTTTGTTAGCCAAGGGGATTAAAGTTTGCTCTGAATTGTCTGAGTGTGCATCATTTTGTTGCTGATCAAGATTTCACTCATTATCTTTTAACATTATTGTGGAAAATTCCATGTATACACAAAAACAGAAGAGTATAATGAGCTCTTCCCCCCACCATGTGCCTAGCATCTACCTACAGCAATTATCAGAGTTTACTGATTTTTGAGTACTGAAGCCAGATGACAAATGAGCAATTAAGCCTTCATTACCAGTACAGTGAAGACCATTTTATAGCTTTGAGCTAATTTTGCCTCTTGATTTGACCAAGGAAGAAATCCACCAAAGAAAATAATACAGTAAAACTTAGTTATGGAGGAAGATGGGAATTTAGCTTCAGTTTTCATTAAAGACAAAATGAGTTTCCTGTATGCTTTAATCTAATAATGTTATTTAAAATTAAATGTGTGGATTTTATACTTTTACAATTGCTGCTTCAAAGCCTGGAACCCTAACTAACATGTGGTGAGAAGTTAAGCCTCTCCAGAAGTGGTATTGTCGTCAATTAATTTAGATTATATATATTTTTTATTTTAGGGATATGGGACTGGAGTTATTTAGGGCTCATATTATAAGTGATCAAAAAGTCCAGAATAAGACAATTGATGGCATTCTTCTTTTGATTGAGAGGGAAAGGAATGGTGAAGCAATTGACAGAAGTTTACTGCGAAGCCTTTTAAGCATGCTCTCTGATTTGCAAGTAAGTCAACTACTTCACTTACTACAGAGCTGATTGCTATCCCTAATTTGATGTTTAAAAAGCAAGCTCAGGGAAATTCCCTGGCGGTCCAGTGGTTAGGACTCTGCGCTCTCACTGCTGAGGGCCCAGGTTCGATCCCTGGTTGGGGAACTAAGATCCCACAAGCCGCGAGGCATGGCCAAAAAATAAAAACCAAACTCATAGTGCTGTTCCCATTAAGGGCATTCAATAAACATTTATTGGATAATTGAACTCCTTTATTTTGTTACCCCTTCCCAGATTTATCAGGATTCTTTTGAACAACGATTTTTGGAAGAAACTAACCGACTTTACGCAGCCGAAGGCCAAAAATTAATGCAGGAAAGAGAGGTATTTAAAAATCATGATTAATAAATCCACTGTGTATCATAATAGACCCTACTTTATTGAACATAAGCTGCCCTTTGCATTTATCTTCCCAACATTATGTTGCTTTTCTCTCACTTAGGTGCTCCTTTCTTTTCTCTCTTCTTAAAGGCCAGAATTCTGGATCATAAACTCTACCTATAATTTTACATATGATTCAACCCTGTCACATTTGACAGGGCTGCTCCCAGGATCTTTTGGAGTTGACATTTTCTGAATGATTTATGGGGCGGAAAACAATAATATAAAAAACTATCTTTGTAGGTTCCTGAATATCTTCATCATGTTAACAAACGTCTAGAAGAAGAAGCAGACAGACTTATTACTTACTTAGATCAGACCACCCAGTAAGTATTACATGCTCAGCCTAATAGCCTTAACCTGTGTTGTTGAATCACTTAAGGCACTTGGGGCATCCCCAAACATGTTAGTAACTATTTTCAGGTGTCTCGAGTCTTTAACGATTGTTTTCGTAATGCAACCTTCGAGTTATTATTTTCCCTACTTCATTAGATTTAATCAAGGATTTGATAATTGGTTGTCTATATGTGTTTAGGATGTAATTAAAAAATAGTATTACAAGCTGATGTGATCTTTGAAATCTTCAGGCCGATTAAAGTTCAGTGGGTGTTCATAGGAGAAAGTATTTCTGTGCTTTCCTAAATATTACCAACCAAGGAGTTCCTGTAAGCAGCACAGATAAATTCCTTACTTTCCCAGTGAAAGCAGAGAAATTTGGGAAAAGCCAGCCATAGCAAGACCCTTAAAATATTTGTTTCGTGATGTAACAAATTCTGAAATATGCAATGTTTTCCTTCTAGTCATAAAGTAGAGTAACTCCGAGCACAATAAATTTATACATAGGAATAGGAATATTGAAATTAACATATAATGAGCTATTTGATTTTTCCCCCCCCAGGAGAGACTATAAATTTTCAGCAAAGTCAAAGTCAATAGTTCTAAACTTTTTTTTTCCTTGTAGAAAGTCATTAATTGCTACTGTGGAAAAACAACTTCTAGGTGAACACTTAACAGCAATTCTTCAGAAAGGTAATTGGTAATTTACAAATGAGAGATTACTTTTAAAATGGTAGCAGCAAACAAGTAGAAAAATTTTTAAAGATTGCCCTTTTAAAAGTTTGGTAGCGTGTGGCTGCATTTCTGAGGAGGGACACAACCCCTTTTCCGTATTCATCACAGTAAACTTTCAGGAGGTGCCTGTTTCCTTAACTTAAAGATACAGGGAGTGAGATGAGAGGAGACTACCAACTCTGGTAAAGAAACAGTGGGAATTGGGGAATTCTTGATTTAACTTTTAAGACTGCAGTAATAAGGAAATGCATTCCTTTTTGCACTGAAATGTTTTTGTTTCTAGCATATAAAACCAAGCATTTCTATTAATCCTAAGTGATCTATGAGTATACCCTGAATTTTACTTTGACAATGCTACAAATAGGCAAAAAAGTCTTACCTTTCTCTCCAGCCATCTTTTCTTTTGTTTAAGGTATTTTAGTACATTAACGCAGTTACACTTTTATTTCATTCTGAAAATCAAATACTTTAGAACTTCATTTAAACTTGGCCTATTGATGCATGGTTTTTGATATACCACAGGCCATATCCAATACTCTGAAATATATATATGTGTATACTAATGCAAATATAATGTGGCTATTGCACATGTGAGGTATTTATAATGTGTATTTATGTAAACCAATTTTTATAAGTTGGTTTATACATCTCATCTACTATGCTAAATGGTACAAACCATTACACAATTTTTGTGTTTTTTTGTGTGTTTTTTTTTTTGCGGTATGCGGGCCTCTCACTGTTGTGGCCTCTCCCACTGCGGAGCACAGGCTCCGGACGTGCAGGCCCAGCTGCTCCCCGGCATGTGGGATCTTCCCAGACCGGGGCACGAACTCGTGTCCCCTGCATTGGCAGGTGGACTCTCAACCACTGTGCCACCAGGGAAGCCCACAATTTTTGTTTTTATATAAAGTTCCCTATAGTTAGTTTTCACTTGGAAAGGTGATAGTTTCTTTGAGTTTAATTCAAAGCACATCTCTGTATTAAAATCACAGACTAGTCATAGTTCAGACCAGTATCACAATAACTTATTTTTCATTAAAATATCTGACATTTTTGTTCACTTTTTTAATACCAAATGTTTCAAACTTCAGGTTTAAATAGCCTCCTTGATGAAAACCGAATTCAAGATTTATCTCTCCTGTATCAGCTCTTCAGTAGAGTTCGAGGTGGCGTTCAGGTTCTCTTGCAGCAATGGATTGAATACATTAAGGTATTAACATTAACCTGTTTTTTTTCTCTCTCATGGCTTATAATCTATACATCTAGAGTACATATCAGCAAGAATTTCTTATTTGTTAGATCCTTTTTTTTTTTTTTTAAGTAATGGGCATTTTGAGAACAGTCAACCTGAGAATGATAGCTGTGTGGCAAATTAGCAATAAAACAGTTCTCTTCTTGATGTCTGATGTGATTTCTAGCTCCAATAATTATAGCAGTGAATGTGGAAAAAGGAAGAGGGCTTCTTTTGGATCCAAATTTCTTTCCTTTCTTTGATCTTACACTGAAGGCAGATTGCTGTTTTTTAAAAATTCAACCCCACTTCTTTAAAAGTAGGAAAAAGACCCTAGAGACTTCTACAATAATGCCCCATTATGATATTATATAGCCAGTGGCCATTACTTATTTTATGACTATAGATGAATGGCATCAGTCTGGATGTTTTATAACTTTATTTTTTTATTTTCTTGACTTCAAAGCCAGCTTTATCTTAATTTTTTGAGATTTTTAAAGTCTGTGTATCTACTTAAAATATGATTTGGGGGATTGTTTTCATTGCAGATAATTCTAATAGAAAGTCATTTTTGTTTCTTTAGGCATTTGGTAGCACTATTGTAATTAATCCTGAAAAGGATAAAACCATGGTTCAAGAATTGCTGGATTTTAAAGATAAGGTTGACCATATAATTGATATCTGTTTCCTGAAGAATGAAAAATTTATCAACGCCATGAAAGAAGCATTTGAAACATTCATTAACAAAAGACCAAACAAACCTGCTGAACTTATAGGTATTTCTCTAGTCCCTTTTCCCGGTTCTTTAATGTTCTTTTACTCATAAAATTCCAGTTAACCTGAAATTTTGACAAGGTTTTGTATATTAACACCTAATTTATTTGGTGTTAAAACCCACATGTCAAACATGGTCTTTCTTTGTAAGACCCTATTTACTTTTATTTATAAAAAGCTTGGTAGCTGTTTTACAAGCCTCCTGCAATTTAGAGGTGAGGCAGGGTGCCATTTCTTGAGGCCCACACATAGGGCTACAGGAAAGGGTAGCACAAAATTACAGTTGCCAGTGAGAAAGGTAGAATGTCCAGGATGAAAATAAACCTAATAATCTGGGCCCATTTAGAGTAAAAGGTGTGGTATACTTCAGTTCTCAGTTTTTCCCCCCTGGGTGCCCCTTAATGTCAAGGAGGAGTTAGCTGAGAAGGTCCTTCGCCAAAAGGATGAAATTTTTTTTTTTTTAATTTTTGACTACATTGGGTCTTCGTTGCTGCGCGCGGGCTTTCTCTAGTTGTGGCGAGCGGGGGTTACTCTTCGTTGTTGTGCGCGGGCTTCTCATTGCGATGGCTTCTCTTGTTGTGGAGCATGGGCTCTAGGCGCGCGGGCTTCAGTAAGTTGTGGCACGTCGGCTCAGTAGTTGTGGCTCACGGGCTCTAGAGCGCAGGCTCAGTAGTTGTGGCGCATGGGCTTAGTGGCTCCGTGGCGTGTGGGATCTTCCCGGACCAGGGATCGAACCCGTGTTCCCTGCATTGGCAGGTGGGTTCTTAACCACTGCGCCACCAGGGAAGTCCCAAAAGGATGAAATTTTGTTGGTTTACTACTTAACCCTTAAAATTTTTGCAAAATTTGCCTCTTACTCTGTAATGTATCTGGTTTGTTTTAATAGAAAAGGGTTTAAGATTGCATACCATCAGTGTAAAATGAATACTCCAGAAGATGTGCCATGTCTTTCAATGGCTTTGATGACCCCAGCACAGGGCTGTATACACCCCCCACCCCCGGGGTACCCATATCCCGCATATCCCATTTTTAGTAAGCATCAGTATGGTAGAAAGTACATTAGATGTGGAGCCAGAAGACTTGGGTTTGAGTTGAGACTCTTGTATTTTTTAGCTCTGTGACATTGAACAAGTCACTTGGTCTCCCTGACTTTGGAGACTGTTTTAAAAATGCATGTATACATGTGAAACATTGAAAAAGTCAGTATATCATACTTCTATTTGGTATTTATAGTGACCAGTACCTCATGGATACATGATCACTAAACAATAAACTTTCCCCCCATTTTAGCTAAGTATGTAGATTCAAAGCTTCGCGCAGGCAACAAAGAAGCTACAGATGAAGAACTTGAGAAAATGTTGGATAAGATTATGATTATATTTAGATTTATCTATGGTATGTATTTTTGTTTTAATATTTTTCTTTTAAAACAAAGCACTCAACAGAGAAACTAGCGAGTATAACCAACCTAGAAGGTATATTTATTTGGGGGTTAGCTATTTAAAATTCTGTTACATTCCTTGCATTTAATATATTGGGGTACTTGAGGAATGTTACTTAATTGCCTTGTGCTTTGACTTTTCCACTATTAAGAGCCTTGAATTTTGCTACTTATTTTAATCTCTAGAGTATTGATGCTAAAGCTACTAGTTGACTAAAGCTTTTCTAAAGAAAAGTTAATTCAGTCTTAATTCTTTACAGCAAAGAACTTTTGAAAGGTTTGGCACAAAAATCTACCTCTAATGTTTCTTGCATTTAGCAAACTTGGATAAAATCTATAAATTTAAATAACTTGGAGTAATGGTGCGATTTATTAAGCACTTTGAGTCAATTTTGTCAAAACCTTATATTGGAGTATTATGAGAGTTGTGTTTTATTATTTAACATAGGCAAGGATGTTTTTGAGGCCTTCTATAAGAAAGATTTAGCCAAGCGCCTGTTAGTTGGGAAGAGTGCATCTGTGGATGCTGAAAAATCAATGCTGTCCAAACTTAAACATGGTATGTTTGTCATTCTTTCTGTTCCTTTTCTTCTTTGATTTCTGAGAGGAAATGTTAGCTTAGTTTTTACTCTTTCAGTCAGTTGCCTCTTTTGTCAATCATTGTATGTTCATATGATAAAAACGTAAATTGAGTAAGCTCATTAGGTTTCTAACCTATTTACATATCCAGAGCTGTTGTGATTTTTTTTTTAAATAAAGCATTGTTCTTTTATTATTTGTATAAAAGTTTCCCATTTATCTTATGCCTAAGTAGTAGATAAGGTTACTGTAGGATTAAAGATTTGACTCTGAATTAGTGGGGCATATACTTTGGGGTAAGGATTTTTTTGTTCTTATGAATAGTTACAGATCATATTTCATGCTAAAGTAAGTTTTATATTTCATGTTTTCAATTCTAAATTCTGTGTTTTTACCACTTTAAAATACTGTAAATGTACAAACATCTTTAATAGAATGTGGAGCTGCTTTCACCAGCAAACTTGAAGGAATGTTTAAAGACATGGAACTTTCTAAAGACATCATGATTCAGTTCAAACAGGTAAAAGTGAGTTAAACTCTTACTTAATTCCTCCAACTTAAATGTGTTTAGTTATCTCCTTACTTTGGTTTGTACTGAAGATAAATAGAAACATGTATTTGTTATAAATACTTCATAGCAACTTAGATGATAGTCACAGTGGAGGAAAAAAATCACGAATGAAATGTAAGTATATTTGACCTACTTCAAAATTTATTCTCAGTATACACCCAAGATAACACAAAAATAGAAATAAAATGTATTGAACAGAAGTAAGGACAAGAAAAGCTGTAGCTAGTGAGAACAGGGCTTCTAGCATCTAATCGCTGTTGGTGAGTTGCATGTTCAAAGCTGGTGATGGGGAGGGAGGAGAAGTGATAGAGTGATTGTATAAGGCCTTTAGGGACATGGGGAATGAAAAGCTAGATACATAGTTTTGCAGGTGTTGGTAGAAGCTGGCTTCACATTTTTGAGATTATAGGTAATAGTGATAACAAAGTAGATTTTCCTCTCCTAGGGTTTTAATAATGACTTCTTTACCACTATATTGCTATGGTGGGAAATGAGAGTGGAAGACTCGAGAAAGATTAGGGTCAGTAGGATCATGGGTCCTGTAGTAGCTACAGAATAGGGTTTATTTGCTTTGCCCTTTCCCCTTCTTCCTTCCCCATTTCAGGTCACCCCTTGCAAACAGGCAGTGGAGCAGGTGAAAAACCAGAGACTTGGGCTGGCTGGTGGGGTGAGGAATGGGGGTTGCTGCCAGGTTTTCCAAGCCACATAGGGGTCTCCAGAGATGGGGACTGCAGGTGGTATGGGGAAAGGAATGGAGAAGAAATCCAATAACAGCCCAGTCGTATGTGAGAAATTATTTATTTAAGTCGTTAATGCCTCTAACAGAGTCATGTGATCTTTGTGTGCCATTGTAGCAAAATGTTACCCAGTGTACTTTTCTAGTGCACTTAACATAGGCTTCACTTATAGTCCTTTTAATAGTTGCCTTTTATTTTAAAGATCGTCAGTATTCACATGTAGTTTTGTAATGGGGAACTTCTTAAATGGGTCATTATTATGGCATGAAATGTATGCACTTTTATTTTTTAAGATCTCAGTGTGTGTGTTGATCTTATTGTAGTATATGCAGAACCAGAATGTACCTGGGAATATTGAATTAACTGTGAATATCCTGACGATGGGTTATTGGCCAACATATGTGCCTATGGAAGTTCATTTACCACCAGAGGTAAGAGTTGCTGTTTAGGACTTGAGTTATAAGCATAGAAATACATGACATTTCTATTTTGCTTATCATTGAAAAATATGTACTTTTTTAAAAGTTTGTTGTCAGTAAGTATGCCACCACCAAATGTCAACTGTTTTTAATACTTTACTCTTTTATTTATATTACTCTTGTACTTATATCATTAGAGCATAGCTAAAGATGCCAAGTTTCTGAGTTCAGGGCCAATTTCCTTGACTCTTCTTTCAGTTCCCCAGATTGTACCCATCACTCTGCCCAGCTCTCAAAAATTCTTGTCCGTATATCACCTGGGGGTTGGACTGCTGAGTGATGGTTGCTTGAGTAAATCCAACCTAACTCCTGGGGAAATGTCTTAACCCAGGACTGAAGCTTAGAAAAGGGTTAAGGCTAGAGAGATAGATACTGAGAGTCCTCCATGGAGATAATCATGGAAGCCCAGGGAGCAGATCTCCCTCATTAAGAGGGAGAATGTGGAAACAGGAAGAACAGGCCTAAGGCAGAACTTTGAAAAAGGCTCACATTTGGTAGGTAGTAGGAAGAGGTACCTGTGAGGGAATCCAGTGAAGAAGCAATAGTGAGATAAAGGAACCAGCATGTTGCAGAGACACAGAAGACATTGGAGATGAATGTTTCGAAAGAGGGGATGATAAAATGTTGCAGACAGATTAGAGAGTGTAAAGACTGATTCATGCCGTTAGATTTGGTGGTTATTACCTTACATCAAAGTGATCAGTGGACCTGCTCTGTATAGTCTTTAAAACTTCCAGAAATTTTTACACGAGATAAATATAAAAAGTGGTGAACGTGATATTGGATACAGAGCTTAAATAAAGTTTTGTTTTATTTATTGTAGATGGTAAAACTTCAGGAGATTTTCAAGACCTTTTACCTAGGCAAACATAGTGGCAGGAAACTTCAGTGGCAGTCAACCCTAGGACACTGTGTGCTAAAGGCCGAATTTAAAGAGGTAAGTGGATGTTCCCCAAACTTAGTTTTCACCTTCATCTTTGATATTGAGGTCATCCCTCTTAATTTGAAGGTTTAAGGTGTTTTATAAATTTGTCCTGAATATCTGCATGAGATAGTGATAGCTTGTCACAGCCCTGTGTATATTATAAGAATGTGGTCTTTTCCACTGTTGATTGGGCCCTGCTGCAAAACCAAAACCAATAACCCTTTTCTCCCACACCCTTTCCCCACCTGTGGATGCAAAATTCACGCTGCCACTTCTTGACAGGAAACTTCTTTTCTTGGTGCTGGGAGCTAGAGAATAGAGTGGGCGTTAAGGGGAACAGTTCTTATATCAATTTCAAAAAATCCTACAGCTTTTCATGACTAATCCGAATCAGAAGAGTTGAAAATGCATTGAAATAGTGATTTCTTGTTGCTCATGATAAATATCTGTAATGACACATAAAACCGAGTTATTAATTTTCATTACTTGGTTGTTTTAATTATAAGGCTTAAAAAAAGACCTGTAGAAAGGTCACCCAATCCTTCCTCCTGTTTTAGGTAGGATCACACCTAAACCCTACACTGAACATACTGGCCTTTCTGGATAATGTTAATCCGAGTTTCTAAATCCACTAATTGAAAAATGCTTTTCCAGTAAGAGATTAGTTATTTGATTAATTTTCATGCATTTTTAAAAAAAATGATGGCTAAACACTGTTGTTTCTCCAACAGGGTAAGAAGGAACTCCAGGTCTCTCTTTTTCAAACACTGGTGCTGCTAATGTTTAATGAGGGAGAAGAGTTCAGTTTAGAAGAGATCAAGCAGGCTACCGGAATAGGTTTGTGTTGAATCGTTTCATTAGCATGCATTATTCGGTGTCCACTATGTGCACTCCACTTGGTTAAGAGCTCTGGGGGACTATAAAGGGATAATCCCCCTCCTCAGCACTTACAACCATGGGGAAAGGGAGAAATGACAATTTCACAACCAATAAGTACCAATCTGTGGTGCTGACAGAGTGTGTTAGGAGTTCAGTGAAGCAAGAGATAACTGTGGACTGGCACAATTGGGAAAGCCTTCATGAAGGAGGTAGGACTTGGGCTGGGCCTTCAGATTTAAGTTAGGGAGAAGGCATATTTTGCAAGAGGAAATACCATGAGAAAAGGCGTGGAGGAAGGAATCAGCACAGTATGGGCAGGAGTCATAAAAAGTTTAACTGCAGCATAGAGTAGTGAGATACAAAGTTAGATAGGTAAGATATGGAGAGCCTTACAGATCTAGCAAGTGAAACATACATTGTAGGATCTCAAGTGTGTGACATATTGGAAGTGACTTATTTGGGCAGCTTGCCTATAATCAGTAGATAGTAGGGCAGCTTGAAGGATGAAGAGATTCCAGTCCAGAAGCTAATGGGGTAATTCAGGCGTAAAGTGATAACGAGCTTAGACTAGAATGAGGCCAATGAGAAGAGAGACGAAGCATCTCTAAGGAAGCAACTACTAGATATGTGGAGGATGCAGGAGAGGGAAGAGTTAAAAGATGATTCCAGGGTTTTTCACCAGAGGAGGTTGGTAGCTTCATAACTAACAATTGGAAAGAAAACAGTTTTATGGGGAAGATGATGAATAAAATGTTGGACATATTAAAATTGATGGTAGTAAAAGAGCCAGCTGGAGGTATCCTTTAAATGTAGGACTGGGGAAAATGAGATGTCATTTCTGAAGATGTGGTGGTTATCCACTCGGAATGATAACTGAAGCCTTTAGAGGACGACCAGGAAAAAAGCCATTGGATAGGACAAAGAGGAAGTTGTTCATGATCTTGGGGAAAAAAGGAAACACTTTTAATAGATGGGTGGGGTAGAAGCTAGATTGAGTTTGAATGTAGCTGTGCGTGTTGATGAGTTAGTAACAAATAACTAAGCCACTCTTTCTTCTTCAGAGGATGGGGAGTTAAGAAGAACACTGCAGTCATTGGCTTGTGGCAAAGCTAGAGTTCTGGCGAAAAATCCAAAGGGTAAAGATATTGAAGATGGTGACAAGTTCATTTGTAATGATGATTTCAAGCACAAACTTTTCAGGATAAAGATCAATCAAATTCAGATGAAAGAAACGGTATTTCTTTTGCATTCTCCTCATTCTAATGTAGTGGAATTATATATGTTCATAATAAAGATTTATAAAGAAGATTTTAGCCTAGAATACTACCACTAACATTAACATTATGTATGCCTATATCTAGCTCAGTGTATTTCAGTATTTGATTTTGCAGGTTTTATGGGGGCAGAGGTGTACACAATTGGGCCTGATAGTTTTATATCCTGCTTTTTGTGTGTTTAAATTAAGACTTTAGAATTTTTAAAAATTTATTTATTTTATTTATTTTAGGCTGCATTGGATCTTCGTTTCTGCTCGCAGGCATTCTCTAGTTGCAGCGAATGGGGGCTACTCTTCGTTGTGGTGCGCAGACTTCTCATTGCGGTGGCTTCTCTTGTTGCGGAGCACGGGCTCTAGGCACGCGAGCTTCAGTAGTTGTAGCACACAGGCTCAGTAGTTGTGGCTCGCAGGCTCTAGAGCACAGGCTCAGTAGTTGTGGCGCATGGGCTTAGTTGCTCCGCGGCATGTGGGATCTTCCTGGACCAGGGCTCGAACCTGTGTCCCCTGCATTGGCAGGCAGATTCTTAACCACTGTGATACCAGGGAAGCCCCAAGTCTTTAGAATTTTTCCATGCCATTAAGCATCTTTATAAAATGGCAGATGGCCACACTATTCTTTTACACAGCTATAATAATTTATTCAACCAATGTCCATTGTTGGGCACTTAAATTCATAACTTCTTAGTATTGTAAATAAAACAGCAAGATACATCTCTGTACCTAAATCTTAATCTCTCTGAGCCTTTCCTTACGAACTTATCATGGAAGTAGATTTTTTGGGTTAAAGAGTGTGAACATTTTCAGAGTCTGAATACGTTATGCCATTTTGTGTTCTAGAAAGATTGGACCAATTTACACTGTCTAATGTGAGTGCCTGTCTTACTGTGCCCTTGCCAGCACTAAAGATTATATTTTCTTTTTTTAATCTTTGCCAGCTTGCTTGGTGAAAAATTGGAAGGTTTAGTTAGTGTTTCTTTGATCAACAGTGAATATTTTGTTTGTTTTTACCATTTGAATTTGTAAGAGATTTTTATTAAGGAAACCAACAACTGCAGCATTTCCTGAAACCAGTTGGTTTCAATTCCAACAAGGTTTAATGCACTACTTGAGAAAAAGTTTTATAATAGGGATAGAAGTCAAGGTCGCAAACAAGTTCCTGTCTCGTTAACATTCACATCAAAGGCGTGATACTCCGTTAGATTACTGTGTTATTTTAAAACGTGTGCTGTATCAGAAAGAAACTAACTGCAAAAAACCCAAACTAGGAACTTCCCTGGCAATCCAGTGGTTACGACTCCGCGCTTCCACTGCAGAGGGCACAGGTTTGATCAGGGGAATAAAGGTCCCGCATTCCGAGTGATGAGGCAAAAAAAAAGAAAAGCCCAAACTATTCTTTTAATTTAGGTGCTAAAGAGGAACATTCTTGCTTTAGCATTAGAATTGGTTAATTGACTTTTTTTAAACTGTGCGTTTCTGATTTATATATTACAAAATAAAAATTAATGAAAAATAATTGGGACTTGCCTGGTGGCACAGTGGTTAAGAATCTGCTTGCCAATGCAGGGGACACTGGTTCGATCCCTGGTCCGGGAAGATCCCACATGCCGCAGAGCAACTAAGCCTGTGCACTACAACTACTGAGCCTGTGCTCTAGAGCCCGCGAGCCGCAACTACTGAAGCCTGCACTCATAGAGCCCATGCTCTGCAACAAGAGAAGCCACTGCAATGAGAAGCCCACACACCACAACGAAGAGCAGCCCCCGCTCTCCACAACTACAGAAAGCCTGCACAGCAACGAAAATCCAAGGCAGCCAAAAAATAAAATGCAATAAAATAAAATGTTAAAAAAAAAGTTTGACTACTGGTTAGCTTAGCTGGTTAGTATCGTACTTTGAGTCAGATGTCAGAATCAGTCACTTTTACAGATAAGCTAATGTCATACAGAAATCTGGTCAATAACCTCTTGTGACACATTAAGATTTTGAGAAGAGAATAAAAGAAAATGATAAATTCTGCATCAGCTGTCTCTCTTTCTAGTAAAGCAACTCAAAGATGGTATTTTTCTATTAACTAATATTGGTGTTACTTCATTGATACAGGACATTAGGCCAGATAGGAGTTATGTTTGTAGGGTTTTTTCTGTCCTTGTCAGTATTTATAAGGTTTCTTTTGATCAGCATATTTAAAGCATTAACTGTGTCATGTCCCTAAAATGTACAATTTGTATAAGTAATCAAGTTTCACTTCAGGTACAGTTCCTAAGTTTAAAACTTTTTTGTTAGGTTGAGGAACAAGCAAGCACCACAGAAAGAGTATTTCAAGACAGACAGTATCAAATTGATGCTGCAATTGTTCGAATTATGAAGATGAGAAAGACACTTAGCCACAATCTCCTTGTTTCAGAAGTGTACAACCAGTTGAAATTTCCAGTAAAGGTAGGTACTTCTGTATTTTATTATTGAGCTGCTTATATATAAAAAATATTGAGTTTATTATATATAAAAATTAGATTTTTCAGACACAAATCTTACAAACATAGAATAAAACCTCAAGACCATTTGGAGGGACAAAAGTTTTCATTTCTTATGCTCATATATATGATTCCAGAAAAACCTTTGTTGGCATATGTGGGCAGCTGTGACAAAAGGGGAAAACAATTTATAAAAGCTCCTATACCTGAAAGTTTAGCTGCTAAGTGAGTCTTTGAAATTTTCAAGTTTATTCACTTTATTTTTTTGAGCTGCTTTGTTATTTTTATTTCCTTTTTCTCCTTGAAATACCTAGCTATTTGACAGATTTGGTTATTTTAATTAAGTTAAATCTAGTTAGCTTGTGTAAGTGTTCATTAAAAACTATACAGATAACTAGTAATCATTAGGCATCTTTTTTAAAGCTTAGCAGTAGTTCTGGCAAACAAATTAGTCATCACATGGACATGTTCCATTATAAATGTCCAGTAATAAAGCGCCTTAGACAATGTGGTGTTGTACTGGACTGTATCTCATGTTTTAGAAGATTCCCAAACTCTTATGATGATAAACACTTTGTAAAGTTTGGATAGACTCTTGGCTGTTAGGGTTCTCATGAGCTTTGGGCCTAGGTAAGTCACTTCACCTTTTGAGCTTGTTTCCTCTTTTGTAAAATGGAGATGATAATAGTACTTATCTCGTAGGATTATTGTGAAGCGTAAATGAGATAATATATGTAAAACTTAGCACTGGGCCTGGCACATAAGTGCTCATTAGCTGTCACTGCTAATAAGGTAGGCTTTCTCTCTCCTCCAAACCTAATACTGCCTCCTCATTACCACACTCTCACCCTCATGTTCTGCCTTAACAATCATTTCACCTCTAGCCAGAGAGATCACTGATGCTAGCTAGCTAGGGAAGGTAGAGGATCACTGTAATAAATACTGTGCTGGTATTCTAGGTCTTTCACCATAATTAAGAGAAAGTCATTTTGATTTTCAAATCTTGGAATTCAAACTTTGGTGAAATTTTGGCTGCCCCAGCAAACTACTTTCCCTCTTTACCTTTCTTGATCAAGTAGCCATTTTACACAATCTGAAAAACTGTTAGCAAGCAAGATTATATTCTCTTTATAGGCTGGATACAAAAGACAGTGGAATTTTGTTACCCAAGAGCTAAGAATGCAATCATGAGAACAAGCTATAATCTTTCTCAATGATTTTTCAACAAATAGGATTCAAAAATTCAAATCATTTATAGCAGGTAACAGTTAAACCTTAAACCTGAAATATGAAGATCTGAATTATGAGATGATACCTCACTTATCAAACCATTTGTTGTAGTATTCTTGTAAATAGTGATTTCCATAGTACATTTTTTTTTTTTTTTGTGGTATGCGGGCCTCTCACTGTTGTGGCCTCTCCCGTTGCGGAGCACAGGCTCCGGACACGCAGGCTCAGTGGCCATGGCTCATGGGCCCAGCCGCTCCGCGGCATGTGGGATCTTCCCGGACCGGGGCACGAGCCCACGTCCCCTGCATCGGCAGGCGGACTCTCAACCACTGCGCCACCAGGGAAGCCCAATAGTACATTTTTTATTTAATTTATAAATATGCAACCTGACTTTGAGAACCAGCTTTTGTCTAAATTTAGGGTCTACTTATTTTCTCGAACTATCTTGGCAAAACTAAATAGCATTCTGTTTCCTTAAACTATACTGTGTTCCTTTTGTGAAGTTATGGTAGTCTTTTGTATTTGTGCAGAGAATAGCTGGTTCTTAGAAGACCTCTTTAAAATAGAAAAGTAAAGTATTGTATAACAGTATGACAGGGGACTTCCCTGGTGGTCCAGTGGCTAAGACTCCCCGCTCCCAGTGCAGGGGGCCCGGGTTCAATCCCTGGTGACGGAACTAGATCCCACATGCCACAACTAAAGATCCTGCACGCAGCAACAAAGACCCCTCATGCTGCCGCAACTAAGACCCAGCACAGCCAGATAGATAGATAGATAGATATAGATAGATAGATAGATAGATAGATAGATAAATAGATAAACAGATAAATAAATAATATAAGATGTGAGAGTGTATAGTGTAAAAACATTTTTTAACCTGGTTTATTTTCATTATACTTTCCTCTTTAAAAAATCAAGGCGATTTAAAAATAAAAATTAAAAAATATTAAGGAGATTAAATACATTAAATCAATGAGCCAAAACTGTTCTTTTTTTTTTCATGGAGTATTGGTAAATGGGCTTGAGCTAGTGATTATGAGCTTTGCACTGAAAATTTGCCTTCTCTTACAGCCTGCTGATCTTAAGAAGAGAATAGAATCCTTAATTGACCGGGACTACATGGAAAGAGATAAAGAAAATCCAAACCAGTACAATTATATTGCATAAAATGTTGGCCTTGGAGCATTTGGTGTCATAAACAGTAGCCAGTGGATAAACTAACCTGTTATTATTTGACTTCTTTTATACTACCAATGACCAAATGAAGCAGTGTAATGGAAATAGTTGAGTGACTTTTCAGTGGTTAACATGCCCATTTAAAGAGTAATACTTACCTTTAAGAAGAATGTTGTTGAACTCTTTGCATGTTATTTAGTATGATGTGCAGAAAACTCTTAAGAAAGTACCTGGTCTTCATGATTCCTATTTGGAACTGGGGAAGAGGTCCCTATGGCTATTAAAAAAAAGAGGAGGGGGGGTTCTTATACACCATTAATTATGAAGCAAAAGGTTTATTTGCTTAAAATGTCATTTAAAGATACTTAAACTGCATGCAAACTTTATTTACTGTACAGAGTTCTGGATGTATTTATCAAATAGAAAAACCACCCTGGACTTGGTTGTTCACCTGTTTTGTGATTTCCCTTGAAGAGAAAAATAAGTTGTCATAGCTATTGATATTTTACTAAGTAATGTTCTGTTACACTGAAAGGGATGTTTTTAAAAATTTTATTTGGAAACAAGTTTTCAAGCAGAGGGACAGTTGCTTACATAGTCTTGTATACACACATCCTAAAATGTTCCCATGGGATGTGTGTATATCGTTCAGCCCTGAGTTTACTGTGCTGATTAACAGGTACTTATAAAAATAGCTGAAATAGAAAATTGCTGGTCAGTTGTACTAGAAGAACATGGTAGGAGAGAAAAATCCAACTCTTTCTTCATATTAAAAATGAATATAATATGAACATCGCAAAAGAGACCAAAACCCACGTGTTGTGTAACTTTTTACAAGAGCAAAAATTCATAAACTAGTTTTCAACTTCCTTTAGACTTTAATGTTGTTTGGACAGTTTTGTCTTTAACTTGGACCAATTGTAGATTGTTACAGGCTTCCTGGGATTTAGCATTCCTATTTTCTCTACCAAAGTTTTTTTTTGGAAGCACCTCAACTCTCCTTTTTGTTGGCGTATGAGCATTTCCTTTCATCCTTATTTTAACTTCCTAAAGCCCTAGATAGAACTAGATCCTTCCTCATTTCCCCCATACACCCCCTAGTTGGGAATTTCAAATTCTGTATTATGCTGATCTTACTCCTTTCAAAATTGCTTGAAGATAAAGAGTTCTCATAGCCACTGGACACCTACCTTTCAGGGGAATGTCCTAGGATTGTTCATACATAGAAAATAGCAGAAGTATTATTTTTCAAATTGATAATGTGAGTAAAAGTCTTCTCTTTTACCATCAGTGGTTTTTTGTTTTTGGGTTTGGGGTTCTGTTTTGCTTCCTTGTTTGTTTTTCCTTGAAGCTTAGAAGGGAATTGATCTTGGAGGAAAAGCAGAAATTTTGTTTTGATTTTTTAAAAAATCAGAACTGCTTTAATGCTTTTTCACCGCCGTGGCCTCTCCCATCGTGGAGCACAGGCTCCGGACACGCAGGCTCAGCGGCCATGGCCCACGGGCCCAGCCGCTCTGCGGCATGCAGGACCCTCCCGGACCGGGGCACGAACCTGCGTCCACTGCATCGGCAGGCGGACTCTCAACCACTGCGCCACCAGGGAAGCCCACTTTAATGCTTTTTTGCAGCAGTGTATTTCCTTGACTATTTGGAACCATTAAGAAGAATACCTAGGTCCTAACGCTCAACTGAGACTTTTGGCTCTTGTGTTTGCTATTGATTGTTTTGAGTTCTCAAAGACCTGTGACCAGCTATTTTTTTTAAAGTTGCCTGTTTTCTTTATAACTGCATCAAACTTACATACTGTTGTCCACAGTATGTGGTATTTAGAATGCCTTCCTAACTATTTTTGAGCAGCCATTGCCTGTATTTTTTTTTTTTTTTTTTTTTTTTTTTTTGGTACATGGGCCTCTCACTATTGTGGCCTCTCCCGTTGCGGAGCGCAGGCTCAGCGGCCACGGCTCACGGGCCCAGCCGCTTGGCGGCATGTGGGATCTTCCCAGACCGGGGCATGAACCCGTGTCCCCTGCATCGGCAGGCGGACTCTCAACCACTGCGCCACCAGGGAAGCCCTGCCTGTATTTTCTTAGAGCCTCCCTGGTTTCCTTAACTGAGCTTATCTGACAAGGAAATGCAGCTATTTTTTTTGCCCTCTCTCCATACTGGACCATCTAAGTCAGTGTTCTAACTCATCCCTGGTGGTCTGTGAGATACGTAGACTGTTCCACCAGACTTGATAATTACTCTTAAGGAAATTTTAGGTAGAATTGGTACCATTAGGAGACTCTTGGTGTTACCTTTGTTATCTTGAAAGCTGGTCCCTTCCCTGAGGCTCTTAATTTTTTGAAAACTTGATGCTATTTCAGCTGAAAAAATTGGTGAGACTATTAAACAAATTGAGGGGAGCTGTTTAAGAAGTTGAAAAGTAATCACAAACAACATTGGATAATTGTGACTTTCAGTTCTGTATCAGTTGAATTTTTGTGCTCTTTTCCCTGTGTACGTGGTGGTTCTATTTTTCTCCAATAAAACTTTTATTTAAAAAAAGTTTCTGGAGAAGATCTTTAAAATTCAAATATTGTAAGAATATTATAAAACCACAGAACTTAACATCTTCTTCCTAATGATTTCTTTAATGAATTCACAGTTGTCAATTTTGTTATTTTTTAAGTTTCTCTTTAATTTTTGTGGTGGTTTGATAGTAATGCTGTAGGAATGTGGAGGGGAAGGTATGGTAGCGGATGATTCCCAGGAATCCTCAAGGTGAGTATTTATTCTTAAATGTTCTATTTTAGAAAAATCAAGCACAAGTAGAAACATTGTTTCATCCAAATCCTCAAAGTCAAGTAGTTTCATAAAGTCAGTATGAAACTAGTCTAGATTTAAGTTGAGAAGGATTGGTGTTAATTCTTTAAATACTTAATTAGAATTCATGAAGCTATCTGGTCCTGGGCTTTCTTTTATGGGGAGTTTTTTGATTATTGATTCAATCTCTTAATAGTTTTTTTCAGATTTTCTATTTCTTGAGTCAGTTTTAGTATTTTGTCTTAAAATAACTACCCTGACTTTTGTCTAGTATTTGCTTGGTATATCTCTTCATTGCTTAACAGCCTTTTCTTATATTTTAGGTGTGTCTCTTCCATATTAGATGGATTTTCTCATCTTTCCCCTAATCTGACAATTTCTGTCATTTTTTTCATAATATACATTTAATTTTTTATTGAGGTGTAGTTGAAGACAATTTCTGTCCTTTAACTGGAAGATTATATCCATTTGCATTTGTTTCTAACATCTTACTGGTTGCTCTTTATCTCTTCTAATTTTCTTTGCTTTTTCTCCTTTCTCAGCTTTAAAAAATATATATTGAGTTTTGTTTATTTTTTTATTCCATTTTCCCCACTACTTATTTGGAAGTTATATATTCTATTCTTTTACTGATTACCCTTGATATGTTAGCATCTATGCTTAACAAAGTCAAAAATATCTAAATTTTCCTCCCAATTAATATAAAGATGTTAAAACACTTTAATACTGATCACCACTCCCCCAACTTAACACAGTGTTGTTGTCCAGTGTTTTAGTTTTGTCCTCTTAAAAATGAACACCACAAATTAAAACATTAGTCTTTGCTCAAACACCACCTTCTCAGTGAAGCTTACCATAGCCATTCTATTTAAAATTTCAACTTGCCCACCAACGCCACCACACACACTACCGATTCCACACTCACCCCGCTCTTTTTCCTTTTTTACATATCATTTGTTACCTTTTACATACTATGCAATTTACTTGTTAACGATACTTACGGCATATTGTCTGTTTATTCCGCTAGTGTAGAGTTTAAGCTCCATTAGGGCAGAGACCTTTGTTTTGTTCATTGATGTATCTCAAACACTTAGGGAAGTTTCTAGCCATAGTAGGTGCATTAGGTTCCTGTGGCTGCTGTAACAAATTACCACAAATGTAGTGGCTTAAAACAACAGAAATTAATTCCCTCACATTTCTAGAGGCCAGAAGTCAGAAATCAGCTTTACTGGGCTGAAATCAAGGTGTTTGCAGGGCCACACTCCCTCTAGAGCTACATTTCCTTGGCTCATGTCCCCTCCCTCCACTTTATTTTCTTTTTCTTTTTTTGTTTTCTTGTCCCTTCCTCCAAGTTAAAAGCTGGTTCCAATAACATCTTTTTTCTTTTTTTACTGTTTTTTTAAAATGTATTTATTTTTATTATTTATTTTATTTTTGGCTGTGTTGGGTCGTCGTTGCTGCACGTGGGCTTCCTCTAGTTGCGGGCAGCCGGGGCTACTCTTCGTTGCAGTGTGCAGGCTTCTCACTGCGGTGGCTTCTCTTGTTGTGCAGCACGGGCTCTAGGTGCTTGGGCTTCAGTAGTTGTGGCACATGGGCTCAGTAGTTGTGGCTTGCGGACTCTAGAGCACAGGCGCAGTAGTTGTGGCACGTGGGCTTAGTTGCTCCACGGCATGTGGGATCTTCCCAGACCAGGGATCGAACCCGCGTCCCCTGCATTGGCAGGCAGATTCTTAACCACTGTGCCACCGGGGAAGCCCTCAACCATTATTTTGTTTTTCAAATATTGCCTCTCCTCCATTCTTTATCTTTTCTCCCCTTGGAACTAAGTCAGACATGTAGAGTTTCTTATTTTATCCTCTATCTCTATCATATTTTCCATCCCTAAGGCTGCATTCTTGGTAATTTCTTTAGAACTGTTTTCCAATAAACTAATTGTCTTCAGAGCCCAATCTTCTCTTTAATTCATTCACCAAACTTTTAACTTCAACAGTTTATATTTTTTATTTCTGAAAGTCTTATTTGCTTCTTATATAAATCTGCCTAGTCATTTTGATAATCTGCTGTTGCTTGCTCATTTTTGTGGTTCTTTCTTTTAATTAAATATTTTTCTTACACTAGTAACTTTGTATCCTGTATCAGGTAATTCCAATATCTAAAGCACTTGGGGGATATAAACTTGTTTCTTTTTTTACAGAAGTTCCTTATATATGTTAGGTCATTAGTGACCAATAGAAATATAATGTGAG